TCATATATATATATAATTAAATTTTTTTTTTGAAAAGTTAGCTGACAAAATTTGACAATTCCGCTGGGGATTTGAGATATATAAAAATGAATGAATGTAATTTTAGAAATCGTGTTTTTTGGAAAGCTTTTTTTTTCTTTGCCGTAGAATTTGGGATTTTTTTTTAGTAAATTCGGGGGTGAATATCGTCAGGAATTTTTTAGTGGTGATTTGATATGAAGACTAGTTCAAGTAGTAAAACACAGAGACTCACATCCTAGTTGAGAACTAGTCGAGGAATGACTGCCACATTAGGAAGGAAAAACAAACTCCATTTAAGGGAGCTTTACACCCAACTTAATAGGTGACAAAGGAATCAAATACCTTACTGCATTTAAAGGGGTTTTACATCCAACCTTAGATGTGACGAAGGAATTAGACACCTTGTTCCATTTGATGGCTACACATTAAATAGGACAACCTTACTCCATTTAAGGGGGCTTTACATTTAACCTAAGATGTGAGGAAGGAATCAGATACTTTGCTCCATTTAAGGGGGTTCTACTCCTATCCAAGGAATTTGAATGTCTGTTACGTTAGAAATGACAACATTACTCCATTTTAGGAAGTTTTACATCCAACTTAAGATGTGACAAAGGAATCAGATAACTTGCTTCATTTAAGGGGATTTTACTCCTAACCGAGGAATTTGAATGTCTGTCACGTTAGGAATGACAACTTTACTCCATTTAAGGGAGTTTTACATCCAACTTAAGTGGTGACGAAGAAATCTGATACATTGCTCCATTTAAGAGAGTTTTATTCATATCCTGGGAATTTGAATGTCTTTGACATTAGGAAGGACAACCTCAGTCCATTTAAGGGGGCTTTATATCCAATTTAAGAGGTGATGAAGGAATTAGATACCTTGCTCACTCCCTTAAATTGAGTGGTATATGCATAAATCTCCCTCTTGCATGCAATTTTATAGAAATTGGATGGTATGTATTAAATCTTCCCTTCTTGTTTTATTGTTTCGGGTGCAGATACATATAAACTACGTGGTATGCATGTAAATTTTCCTTGTCTCTTTTTTTTTATTATCCCTCATGCGAAGAAGAAGCTAGGAAGGAGAAGTATTCACCCTACCTGGGTTCTTCGGTGGGAGGTCTGTCGGAGGGAGGTTTGCCGGAGAGAAGCTCGTCGGAGGGTGGTGGAAATAGAGGAGAGAAGTGCGCGTGAGAAAGAGGGGTGAGAGTGACTGGCGAGAGTGAGCAAAGAGGGAGTAGGGGCATACGATAAGTGATGTAGGGCAACATCGTCAAATTTTTTAAGCAAACGCGACCTACGGGCTTAGTCTCGCAACCCGCGTTTAACGTAAAAAGGCAATGACATTTTCGGTTAAGTTTACCTAACTTTTTTTCCAAACAGTGAGACGACGTTTTTAAAACGCCACTTCAGTTGATAAGCTCCCCAAACGGGGCCTTAGTTACATTGCTTTTATTTAGAATTTGTGCCCAGTTTCAGACAACCGCAACATCGGTGTTTCTAAGAACAAGATCTTATTTTCAAATCACTACGATGAGTAGTACTTCTTTAGAAATTGTTCATTGACAAGGAGCATATGTAACAATATCTCATCCTTTAAGATACTATCAGAACTATGTTTCTTTAAGTACACATAAAGATATATTATTTTCAAGAATATCTCAACTGAAGAGGTTGTAACTCTGTGGTTTCATTATAGTAGAGGTTGTAGCTTCATGTTGTCTTGAAAGAATACTTTGACGTCCTTGAATTGAAATTGGAGTTGAATGTTTTGAGGCATGAAAATTATGACTTCAGGTTCGAACTCTCATGATATTTTTATTTCTCAAAGATACATTTAAGCTAGTTAATAGCCAATGAAAGAATTTAAGACCACTTAACATTTTCCTGAAAATAATATCAGAA